TATTCTATTTTTTATCTACAATTAAACAAATATTACTTTCAAATGACTGGATGCTTAATTTTATTTTTCCTTTCAAATGATTAACTGGGTTTCATTTTGAGGTTATATAAGGCATTTTTAATGAGTTCAATATCTAGGGCTAAAGCCCAGATAATTAGTTCTTTTTTCCCACTGCATAAATGTTTTCAAGAATATTGTACATAATTGACTTTTTCTAAAACCCAAGTCAACCAAATTGAACATGTCTAGGTCACATCATGTTTTTCCACTGCACTAAATTTCAATGCCAGAGATGCTTTGCTGTCATTTGGAATTGATTTTCAAAAACAGTGATTCCAAAAATTATTTTAAATTTTACCTGCAAACTTTGTGACCTCTAGATAAATAGCCATAAATAAATATATAATAATAATCACAGGAAAATATTTTTTAAAGTGAACATTGGCTATTTCATAAAATAAAATATCATTCTGCAATCCTTATTTTTACCTCCTTTCTTATAATTCTATATATTTGGAGTTTTAAACCCTAGGCTTTTAAGGTAACATATTCTTTTAATAAATAGGTTACACTTAAAAACAATAATTGGCTTGGGTACATTCATAAGGTAACTTTGAGATCTTGAAGACTGTAAGTGGTTTCCAAAAAGGTTTAATTCACAACCAAGTACTAGCTTGGAAACTGAGAGAATATAGCCTATAATTGCAAAATACCTTAACATTTCTTTTCAGTCCAAAGCCAAAGGTAGTTTGAAAGTATAAAGACTCTAAGGCTTTCTATTTTAAGAGTATTCACTCTTCAGTAAGCATATGTGCTTAATTAAAATGCCAGTTGATTAATTATATCAAAAGGTCTTCAAATAGCTCTTAAATGAACAGATTTCTCTCATTCTCATATGAAAACCAAGAAAATTTCATCTTTTTCTAGTGAACTGCAGAAAGAAAGAAAAATAAGTGAATGAGTGAATATGCAAAAAAACCTACCATGGCTTGTACTTCAGTACTGATTTTAACAGTGAATTTAAATCTGTAAATGGAACCAAGTTTATGTAAAGACAAATTTTTCAGAGCCTAGTTAAAATAAGGTCCTCAAAATATACTGGTAGGAGGGCATGAGGAAGCTGGACAGAATGGAATTAAGTCTCTGCATCGGGAGAATCCAATTAACTTACCTATTTTATGGTCCCCTATTCAGCTATCCCTTTGAAAATTACATTTACCAAGGTATCGAGGTCCTTCTCCACACCCCGTTCAAAGAAAAATGACTACTCTTTGAGGTCATTCTAATCCCAGATATAAGTGGAATAAAATCAGGACACATAGTTCCTTCAGCCACTCTAGTAAGAGTTTCATTAACACCCAAATGGAAATAGATCAGCAGTTACTACCAGAGTCAGTCTGTTAATTCTTACTCATTGTGACTATTTTACTGTGTAAGCATGTATATAAATCATTCTATAGAATGAGATGAATTATTCTCAGAAAAAGTCTTTATTGTCATGCCCCAGTAAATAATCTTTTCAATTACTACTAGGAAGGGATTTTGCCTGAGATATGTAGAAGCAAACAGACAACCTAGCTGGGTGTAGGAGGCAAGCCATACCCCTCTCAAATGATATTTGAAGAGGGTTGGTTAAAAAAATAATTAGCTACATCAAATCCTTTTTCATTATGTGGATTTTGATTAGGAGTCAGTTCAAATCACAAGTTTGCAAATTGCAAATTTTCTCAATGGTAAATAAAAATTTAAGATTATGGTCACTGAGTTCCTGAATACAAGGACAGAGATGTTTTTAATCCATTCTGGCTCCCAAGGGGCTTTCCTCTCCTGAAAGTTAACTGGTAATTTTGATGCAAACACATTTGACTAAATGTAATGTAAAATGCAGTTCAAATTTTTGACAGGAGAGTTCTTATGACACGTTAAAAGGTCATGTTAAAGTAACCTAATTTCCCCTTGATTCCAACATTTACAGTCCTGTATTTTTTCATGACATCTCTTTCAAGGTTATTTAAAAGAGGTGGTAAAAGTTTAAACAAGTCAGTTCCTTAAAGTGATGCATGCAAGTTTGGCAGTTCCCATAAAATACTGGGAAAAAAAAAAATCCAACTCACTGATTCAGTCAAAAAAAGTCAATTACTTTTTCTTCAGCAATTTATCTATGATACTACCACTATAGTATCAATGGCTAAGAAGCAGAGAGTAAATTAAATATTTCAAAAAAAGGAGAAGATAAGACATTTTATGTAATTCTTTCCTTTGTGAAGAATGCCTGGACAAAAAGACTATTACTGCACTGCAAGGATTATCTACACTTTTCATCAGTGACTTCATTTTTACTAAAACAATACGTATCACTAGATGCCTTCTTCAAAAAGGAAATTATAGAATCTCAAAATAATTCAAACTAGGCAAAGTGAAGAGTCATGCTCCCAGAAAAGGCAAAGTTTCAGATTTTCGAGAAGGAAAAATGTAAGCATCTTCTGCAACCAGCCCACATGAGCTCTCGCTCTCATATTTTTCAGCTGTATTAATGGCAGCAACTCTACATTGTTTCACCAATTTTACAAGCAAGGCGATCCCATGATGGAGACATCTGCAGACAATTTAGCAGACACTAGCACAGATGTTTCTGTGATTTCAGTTACCTTCATCGTCTCAAGCTTGGCCTCATTGCTCAGTCTCTTTCCTCATTGTCTTTAACCTTTAGGTGAGGACAGAGATGAAAATGAGAAGGTGCAAAAGGGCCTAAGTATGAGCCCAACTCTAGCTGTGTCCTGGGTGGAGCTGGGGGTGGTTTGTAGGCTTGCTCAATGGTGGAACCCTCAAGACGTTCAGTATAGATCCAACTTCATGATACTGTACAAATCAACTAGGCAACCAAAAAGAAAATCCTGTTTGCTATCACACATAAGGCATGTGAGTAGGAGTCAAAGAAGGCTTTTAAAAATATTAATACATGTACATGGGGAGTAATCATATCACAGAAGTCATTTATTTCCACATTCTCCTGTTTTATAGCATTTAGAACAGCACTGACCAAAAGAAGCAAACTGCTAGCTCTGAATGCTGACTACATATGTAATTTAAAATGCCCAGCAGCCACATTAATTAAAAAGGAACCGGTAAAATTAATTTTAATAATATTTTCAATTTTGTCAATGTATCCAAGTTTGTACCCAATATAAATTGAATTTATCCAAAATTCATTTCAACATGTAACCAATATAAAATTACTGAGATACCTTACATTCTTGTTTGTTCTTATGCTAGGTCTTAAAAACTGAGCATGTATTTTACGCTTAAAGCACATCTCAAGTCAAACACTTCAAGTGCTGCGGTGCTGCACACACGCCGCCAGGGGGAAGAGACGGCCGGCCTGAGCAGGAGGGGGGCCGGACTCGCCGCTGCCGCTCGGCATGTTGCCCTTACAACCAACTCCTTTTATTCTTTTTCAGGGAGCTGCACAATCAGACATTCACGCTTGGAAGACAGGTCCATTATCCAGTTCATGTCTGAAATTATGCTGTTGCCCAGAACACCTTCTCATTTCCTTTCACCTTTTTAAGTTTCACCCACCCTCAAAGTCAACCCTCAAATTTCCACCTCCTCCTGCAGCCATGAACATGCAAACTCCAGTGTTTCTCCCAAAGCATTTCCTTCCTCTCCATTCTCCCAGTTCCCAGTACAAACCTCTTACCACCTAATATGGCTGCTTGCATTCATTAGGCACTCAATGATTTCATGTTAAATAAATGAAAAAGTCACTTGCACATTCATTTCAGTGCTTAATTTGTACAGTAAACAAAAATAGTAAAAAATCTCCTATTTTTTAATTAAATGTTATTTTCCATAAAGCAAAGTGTTAGTCGCTTAGTTGTGTCTGAGTCTTTTTGACCCCATGGGCTGTAGCCTACCAGACTCCTCCGTCCATGGGGTTTTGCAGACAAGAACACTGGAGTGAGCTGCCATTTCCTTCTCTATGGCAGGACAGAGCCATATTTCAAACTTCTCTTTAAGATAGCAAATGAGCAAGTGAGTGAAAGTCACTCAGTCATGTCCAACTCTTTGCAACCCCATGTACTGTAGCCCGCCAGACTCCTCTGTCCATGGGATTTTCCAGGCAAGAATACTGGAGTGGGGTGCCATTCCCTTCTCCAGGGGACCTTCCTGACCCAGGGATAGAACTCGAGACTCCTGCATTTCAGGCAGATTGTTTTCTGCTTGGGCCACCAGTGGTACAATACTTTTCTTCAACTCAAACCTAGAGCCTCCTTTGTCCTGCGCTAAAACATTGCTGGTAGACAGAAATACAGGAGCTGCACAAAATGAACGATAGCAGTGAAACGTGGAACTGTTTCTACCATGGGCCTGAACTGTTAGTTGGGGTAAGGAAAAAAAATCAGGCCACAAATCTCTACATAATCAACAGTATAATTTTTCTCTCCTCTTTCCAAACTACGGTACAATCACACACACAGTTGGTCACTTAGGAGGAGGAGAGGGCCAATACCACTGAATGCCGGGACTAAAATGTGTTCCTTGGACCAGCTACTCGGAAAGCCAGCGCTGATGTTAGTGACAGTGATTTCCTGGGAGTACTATAGAGAGAAAAAACATCTGTAGAGGGATGAGAATTAAATGGAGGTTTAAAAAGCAGAGGAAGTGCCAAGTATTTTTAAGTTGTTCGTCCCTTCAGCCACCACACTTGCAAAGCGTAAGGAAACAGCACAGAGTCGGGGCGGGGGGGGCTCTAGCACAATCTTGCCTTTCACTGAGTTTTGAACTTCATTCTGCAGTCCTGTGTGCTCACTGATTCCACTTGGCTCCAGAACTTTCCACCTACCCATTTTGAGCTCTATTATTGTCTAATTCTCATCACGGCCTTGTTTTAGAGTTCTCTCTTGGAAGCATTTTCTTAACTGAAGCCTGTTTGTTTGTTTGTCTGTCTAACCTTGACAATAACGTGCACTTTTCTTAACCTGTCCATGCTAACCCAGGCACCTTAGGTCAACTCTGCTTCCACTCCTGTGGCCTGGGACTCCGTCTGCTGTCCCTCACTCGCCTCTGCTCTCATGGACAGTGACCCGCCTGCAAAACTCAGACCTCAGTGTGAGAAGACAGATGGAAGAAGAAAGACAATGTAATTCCCTCACTGGACAGAGCATGACCATAGCTGAGTTCCCTAGCAACACTTAGAACTCTGCGAAAGATATCAAAGCAATCTCAATTAAGTGTACTGTACATTAATTACATTTCAATAAAAAGTACACTGATCTTACTGCAAACTATTTCCTTATACTATCCTTGATTTTACATAGGATTCAGTTTGATAATGTATGTTTATTATTTTTATTTAGAATGTACCCATACAATTTTTAAATGGTCAATAAAGAATTTTTAAAATAAAAGATGTTGAAATAGACATTATTTCATGACTGTAAAATGTTCTCATTACCGAGCAGCTTTGAATAACATTAAGCAATATTCCTTCCTTAGGTGCTATGGAGAGCACTGTACTTCATTAATATAGAGACACTACCAGGAGAGAGTTTAGAAAACATGAATGAGTTATTAAATTGCCTTCACGATCCTTTGAAAATTAATTGCATAGTATTCATAAAGGTTTTGACTATGAAAAAAGAAGAGGATGTTTTACCGTTGAAAGTTAAATTCTACAGTTTTTCTAGAAAGAACTCATGTTTACAATAGGATTTTAATTTAGGAAATCTTTAAGAAACTGAAATTCCGCTGTGCAATTTAGTCAAAAGTGTTTGAGTCTTTTGTACCTTAAAGAAATTTGAGAGAAAAATTGAAACTCCACCACCCAAAGCTACTGAATGTGGTATTTTTGCCAGTTCTAAGTAATTATGAACAGGAAGAGTATTCCTTTTAGAATGTAAAAAAGGCTCTAATCAATACCAGTTCTGCCTCAAATAACCAATTTCTTGATTTATGCCACACATGTGTCTATAATCACTGTTTCAGGACTGATGACCGATGACCTTCTCAGTACCATTGACAGGGTCGGAACTGCTGGGACCGAGTCAGAAATGCTTGGCCCTGCAGAGACTAGGTCCGTCACGCAACAGCATCTACCAAAGGTTGTAAAAGTATCAGAACAAAGCCAAAATTTTGAGTGTTGTTCTGTTTTGTTCAAAATTCTACTTACTTGACTACTGATATATTTTCACCCCAGACCAATTTCTTTCAAGCCATAGGTTACTTGTCTATACATGCTAATTTATTGTTGCTTTTCAGTCACTCAGTTGTGTCTGACTCTTTGTGACCACATGGACTGCAGCACACCAGGCTTCCCTGTCCTTCACTATCTCCTGGAGCTTACCCAAACTCATGTCCATTGAGTCAGAGATGCCATCCAACCATTTCATCCTCTGTTGCCCCCTTCTCCACCTGCCCTCAATCTTTCCCAGCATTAGGGTCTTCTCCAGTGAGTTGGCTCTTCCATTAGGTGGCCAAAGTATTCCAGCTTCAGCTTTAGCATCAGTCCTTCAAATGAATATTTAGGGTTGATATCCTTTAGGATTGATTTGTTTGATCTCCTTGCAGGCCAAGGGACCCTCAAGAGTTTTCTCCAGCACCACAATTTGAAAACATCAATTATTGGGTGCTCATGTATCTTTATGCTCCAACTCTCACATCTGGACATGACTACTGAAAAAACCATAGCTTTGACTATATGCACCTTTATCAGCAAAGTGATGTCTCTGCTTTTTAACATGATGTCTAGATTTGTCATAGCTTTCCTTCCAAGAAGCAAGTGTCTGTCTTTTAATTTCATGGCTGCAGTCATTGTCTGCAGTGATTCTGGAGCCCAAGAAAATAAAATTCATCACTGCTTCCACTTCTTCCCTCATTTATTTGTCCTGAAGTGATGGGACGAGATGCCATGATCTTAGTTTTTTGAATGCTGTTTTAAGCCAGCTTTTTCACTCTCTTCTTTCACTCTCATCAAGAGGCTCTTTAGTTCCCTTTTGCTTTCCACCATTAGAATAATATCATCTGCATACCTGAGGTTGTTGATATTTCTCCCAGCAATCTTGATTCCAGCTTGTGCTTCATCCAGTCTACCATTTGCATGATGTACTCTGCATACAAGTAAAATAAGCAGGGTGACAATATCCAGTTTTGTCCTACTCATTTCCCAGTTTTTAACTAGTCTGCTGTTCCACGTCCAGTTCTAACTGTTGCTTCTTGTCCTGCATACAAGTTTCTCAGGAGACAGGTAAGGTGATTTGGTACTCCCATATTTTTAAGAATTTTTCATAGTTTGTTGTGATTTAAACAGTCAAAGGCTTTAGCACAGTCAATGAAGCAGAAGTAAATGATTTTCAAGGACTGCCTTGCTTTTTCCATGATGCAACAAATGTTGGCAGTTTGATCTCCTGTTCCTCTGCCTTTTCTAAACCCAGCTTGTATGTCTGGAAGCTCTTGGTTCACGTACTGCTGCAACCTAGCTTGAACGATGTAGAGCATAACACTGCTAGCATGTGAAATGAGTGCAACTGTACAGTAGTCTGAACATTCTCTGGCATCGTCCTCCTTTGGGACTGGAATGAAAACTGACCTCTTCCAGTCCTGTGACCACTGCTGAGTTTTCCAAATTTGTTGACTTATTGAATACAGCATTTTAACAGCATCATCTTTTAGGGTTTTAAATAGCTCAATTGGAATTTCATTACCTCCACTAGCTTGTCTGGCTCTAGGTGAGTGACGACACCATCATGGTTATCCGGGTCATTAAGACCTTTTTTGCACAGTTCTTTTGTGTATTCTTGCCACCTCTTCTTAAATCTCTTCTGCTTCTATTAAGTCCTTACCATTTCTGTCCTTTATTGTGCCTATCTTTGCATGAAGTATTCCCTTGATATCTCCCAACTTTCTTGAGATCTCTAGTCTTTCCTATAGTCTTTCTATTTTTTCCTATATTTTTTCCCATTGTTCATTTAAGAAGGCCTTCTTGTCTCTTCTTGCTTTTCTCTGGAACTCTGCTTTCAGTTGGGCATATCATTTTCCCTCTCTTCCTTGCCTTTTCCTTCTTTTCTTTCCACAGCTATTTGTAAGGCCTCCTCAGACAACCACTTTGCCTTCCTGCATTTCTTTTTCTTTGGGATGGTTTTGGTCACTGCCTCCTGTATAATGTTATGAACCTCTGTCCATAGTTCTTCAGGCATTCTGTCTACTAGATCTAATCCCTTGAATCTATTCATCACCTCCACAGTATAATCATAAGGGATTTGATTCAGGTCATATCTGAATGGTCTAGTGCTTTTCCCTACTTTCTTCCATTGAAATCTGAATTTTGCAATAAGGAGTTCATGATCTGAGGCAAAGTCAGCTCCCGGTTTTGTTTTTGCTGACTGTATAGAGCTTTTCCATCTTTGGCTGCAAAGAATATAATCAATCTGATTTCAGTATTGACCATCTGGTGATATCCTTGTGTAGAATCATCTCTTGGGTTGTTGGAAAAGGGTGTTTGTTATGACCAGCATGTTCTCTTGGAAAGACTATTGTTAGCCTTTGCCTTGCTTCATTTTGTACTCCAAGGTCAAACTTGCCTGGGTATCTCTTGACTACCTGTCTTTGAATTCCAGTCCTCTACGATGAACAGGACATCTTTTTTGTGTGTTAGTTCTAGAAGGTCATATATGTCCTCATAGAAGTAGTCAACTTCAGCTTCTTTGGCATTAGTGGTTGTGGCATAGACTTGGATTACTGTGATGCTGAATGGTTTACCTTAGAAACAAATCAAAGTTATTCTGTTGTTTTTGGGATTGCACCCAAGTGCTGCATTTCGGACTCTTTTGTTGACTATGATAGCTACTCCAATTCTTCTTAGGACTTCGTGCCCACAGTAGTAGACATAGTGGTCACCTGAGTTACATTCACCCATTCCCATCCACCTTAGTTCACTGAATCCTAAGATGTTGTTCAATCTAGTTGTCTCTGCTTCACTATATCCAATTTACCTTGATTAATGGACCTAACATTCCAGGTTTTTATGCAATTTTGTTCTTTATAGCATCAGACTTTACTTTCACCAACAAACACATCCACAACTCAGCATCTTTTCTGCTTTGGCCCAGTCACTCCATTCTTTTTGGTGCTGTTTCCCCATTCTTCCCCAGGAGCATACTGTACATCTTCTGACCCAGGAGGCTCATCTTCCAGGGTCATATCTTTCTGCCTTTTCATGTTGCTCAAGGGAGTCTCCAGTCAAGTATACTGGAGTGGGTTGCCATTTCCTCCTCCAGTGGACCACGTTTTGCCAGAACTCTTCACTATGACCCGTCCATCTTGGGTGGCCCTACACGGCATGGCTCATAGCTTCACTGAATTACATAAGCCCCTTCACCATGACAAGGCTGTGATACATGAAGGAGATGCTAATATATAGAGTAGTCTTATAAACAAGATGTAAGTTTATCTTGGAAGATACTCATTTGATAAAACAATCACAGAATGCAAATGCAAATTTAAATAAATGAAAAAAAAACAACTGACAGCAAAGATTAGAGTTAATTATCTTTCCCTTTTAAAAGATTTGCTGAACCAGGAATTCCTGATTAGGACTTCTGTATATATAAAGGCCACCATGGAAACTTTCCTATTTTCCTGAGGGATAGAACGTGGGAGTGATATTAACAGAACTGTCTTCACTAGACTTAAATATCCCCTGACATTTCCTGAAGGCGAGGCTTGACTTCTTTCAGAGGAGGCTTATGTTGAGCTGCTAGATGCTCCTTTCTCTAGCACGGTCAATGAATATGTATTGATATCTGCCATATCCCCAGGGGTGGAAGTGGGAGTTTGAGAGGGTGCCAAAAAAGTTGCTAATTTTCTGGAGGAAGGCATGGGCGTTGTTACTTGCTTATGTTTTTAGCAAGTGAATTTCCTAAAAGAAAATATGTGTTATCTTGCCAAATAAAAACAGCTTTGAGGACATACCTTCATCTAGTATTGTATTATTAATCAGTGAAACAATTAAAAGTAAAAATAAGCCCGAAAGAGAAGACAAATACTGCATGGCATCACTTAGATGTGGAATCAAAAAACTTAAAAAAAAAAAATCAAACTCACAGAAACAGAGAGTGAAAAAGTGGTTGCCAGGGTCTGGGGTCTGGGGAAATAGAGAGAGGTTGCTAAATGGGTACAAACTTTCAGCTGTAAGAAGAATAAGGTCTGAGAAGTTAATGCAAAACATGGTGACTATAGTTAATGCGGGTGTGCTAAATCACTTCAGTAGTGACCTTTGACACTTTGATCGCTT